AACGATGGCAATTTGCTGACTCATTCCGTAGGCAAATTAGTTTTCCTTTCATCAATACAATAATGCAATAACGTTATTGACCCCCCTTAAATGGCAACACAATGAATCTAAGAAAACATCCGCGTTTCATCACATTTTTGCATTTTTGTTTTTATTGAAATTTCCATTTTGATAACCTGAAATGTCAGTCTTGTCCCGCCCTCAGCCTAATCCCCTGCGATAGGGCGGGAGATGATACGCATGGTCCACACGGAAGTATGAGGTCAAGAATTTTTATTTGCATTCAATTTCCATCGTCCGTGTGAGAATTGAATTCCAAAGCCAGAGCAAAAATGACATATTATTGTTGTGAAAATGAATAGAGCGCTTGGAGAAAGAAAGGATCGTGATTCTCTAGTATCTAACAATGGATCTTTTTAACTGTCTCGCAACAGAAAATTAAACAATGAATAGGAAAACATTTAGTAGGTGCAGTAAAAAATGCGATAGTATAGCAGGTAAATAGGTCTGTATTTTNCCCTTAAATAGCAACACAATGAATCTAAGAAAACATCCACGTTTCATCACACTTTTGCATTTTTGTTTTATTGAAATTTCCATTTTGATAACCTGAAATGCCAGTCATGTGCCGCCCTAAGCCTAATCCCCCGGGATAGGGCGGGAGATGATACGCATGGTCCGCACGGAAGTATGAGGTCAAGATTTTTATTTGCATCAATTTCCATCGTCCGCGTGAGGATTGAATTGAAAAGCCAAAGCAAAAATGACATATTCTTGCTTTGAAAATGAATACAACGCCTGGAGGAAGAAAGGATCGTGACTCTCTAGTATCTAACAATGGATCTTTTTAACTGTCTCGCAAAAGAAAATTAAACAATGAATAGGAAAACATTTAGTAGGTGCAGTAAAAAATGCGATAGTATAGCAGGTAAATAGGTCTGTATTTTATCACGAACTTTAGATATTCGTCATAATGTTTCACACAAATTTACAGAGCAAGCGTTTCCGAACAAAGAGCTATTTCCGTATTCTGACAGCGAAAGCAGGAAGGGGTCGGGCGAGCTGCTTCTTTGATCGCATTGACTATATTAATATAGGTCTACTTCTGGTGTACCTTTACTATGACAATTTACTAGCAACACATGCCGGGTATTTTTTGAGGTATTTAGAAGTCTCCGGGATATTTAGAAAATTTGAGGATAGTTGGGTATATTTACAGTTTGTTTTGTTCTTCTGAACTTTGCGTTTTTCAATATAGAATGTCCAAGAAAATTACTCAGCTCGATACGAGCACTAATCCAAGTCAGCGGTTTCCCACCTAAAAACTATACCCCAGAGAAGGAAGCCATTTTCCAAAATGGAGGCCGCTGAGAACTAAAGAAATGTTTTAAGATCTCTCTTTTTATTCTCCTTGTTTCTATGAAGAAGATTAACCTCTCTTATGTAGATATTCAGTTTCCAGAAGTGAATAGTTTGGCTAACTACCTTGGTCAAAATATTTGTAAGTTAAGACAAATGATAAAAACAATTTTAAAGAGGGTTTTCAAAATATTTACTACAGAAACATTTTTGAGAACTTCAGGAAAGATATTAAGGCGATTTTACGTGATG